AGAACTTGCACAATTGGTGACTGACTAAATACTTATTTTTCCCACTGTAATAGCAGCTGCATTCGGGCGCGATAAGCTGTATGTTTTATATTCAATTAACGTATGATCTGATTAGTCGACTAATTGAAAAAAAATAATCTGTGATTAATCGATTATAAAATATAATCGTTTGTGGCAGCCCTAGCTCTGATTGGATAAAGCTGTGAGGTTTGTTTGATTTGTTGAAAGCAGCATCTGTTTAAACCTGGATCACACTGGGCGGCTTTAACGAGACCGCAACAGAAAACAAGCAGGTTTCTCTTTTCCTYATTTTTTAAATATCAAAAATACCAAAATGGGCAAAATGATGTCGGTTATTGACATAAATGTTGGTAATGGTTATTTTTCGGTTTAGAATAGAATAGAATAGAATAGAATAGAATAGAATAGAATAGAATAGAATAGAATAGAATAGAATAGAAACAGCCTTGTTCAGCGCGGGGAAATTCAGGTGTAGTAGCAGCCCAGTTTATTGCCCAGGCCTAATTTAAAATCAAGAATCGTTTATTGTCATTCATACACAACATCAAGACGCAATGTAGAACGAATTTTGCAATTTAGAACATCCGTCCGGAGAAAACACACACACACACACACACACACGACAGACACGGGGGAACGAATGTCCAGGGTCTTTCGCAACGTAGTGCGTTACCTTTGTCATAGTTATCAACATTCTAGAGGCCAAAGTTTTTCCTTACATGTTATTTATTCTCAAAACAATCCTATGTTATTATGTTAGATCTACTTCTTCTGCTTTCACACTTATCAGTGTGTTTAGATGAATTGTGAAGAAATTTGTAATCTGACTCGAACGTTACTGTTTATCATCTTCAGAGAGGCGTGTGGACTCTAATGACAGAGTATATTTTGTCAACCACAACACCAAGACAACACAGTGGGAGGACCCCCGGACCCAAGGGTGAGCACAGTGCAATAAAACACAACATGATTAGAACAGCTGGACCTCTCGCTACTTGTCATAAACAGTTTGCAGTGCCCTCTACTGGCCAGGGTTAAAACTAGACAAATGTTTGTTTTACTTTGAAACACTTGGAGTATGCAGGTTTTAGAGCAGAAGACGCTCATTGTTTTCTAATGAGTGCAGCAGGTGTAATTGTTACCATCATGCAGTTCGAAGGCAGTGACATCATCTGTTAGTTTTCTACAAAACCAGGATATTTATACGAGCAGCAATTCATCTGAATACGCCTTCAAGCAGGTAGGAATCATTTTAGAGGTGTGTGTGTGAAGGGCCTCTGGAAACGTTGTTGTAGCCATTTATCTTTTTCATAAATTATTATTTAATAAATGTCCTGTTACATAACGTTTTAGAAAACTTCTGCCAACCAATGCAACTGTTCAATACTGAAGATGTCTACGCTGAAGATGGAATTTTTGTTAAACAAGTTTTAGGTTTAAAAGTTAAAAAAATTCCTGTGTGTTTTTAGGTGTGGACCTTAGATGAAGGGTAACTTTAATACTGTTTGCGTATTTTGTGCGTACGTGTGTGTGTGTGTATGTGTAGATTACAGAATGAAGATCCTCTGCCTGAAGGTTGGGAAATCCGTTACACGAGGGAAGGAGTTCGTTATTTTGTGGATCACAACACCCGGACCACCACGTTCAGTGACCCTCGCACTGGAAAGTCTTCTGTGTAAGAGCGAGATGTTTGTGTTCTGTCATTACTGCACGCATACTTTTTATTGATGATGAGCTGCAGCTGTTYGTCCTTGTTAATAAGTTAACCCCTCTCATGTTATGTTTGAGATTTCTTTCTATTTCTGAGTGGAAACTGGCACAGGTCACCAGAAATTCAATGATAATTTACAGCTTAACAATTGTTCCTGAATGTTTTTACATAAATCCATATAACTCTGCTCCAAAGTGTCTAAATAGAAATTAGGTTCAGTTGTACTTTACTAATCTATCTTACTAATGTTTTTCCTGTATGACGAGTGTGGTTGAAACTCAAACAATAGTGATGATTTTTTAAAATATTTTCATGACCTGTTGCTCGTGTACCATGTTCACCTTTTAATATGTTGTTCTTCTCAGCACCAAAGGCCCACAGATTGCATACGAGCGCAGCTTCAGGTGGAAGCTTGCTCATTTCCGTTACTTGTGCCAGGTGGGTATTTATTTTATTACATTTTTTACTTTGTTTTGCAGGTTTTACTCACACGTTCTCCTCTTTCCTGTTGTTTTGTCGTCAGTCTAACGCTCTCCCGAGTCATGTGAAGATCACCGTCTCCAGACAGACGCTCTTTGAAGACTCTTTTCAACAAGTAAGAACATTTATCCGTCCGTCCATCCATCCRTCCATCCATCCATCGTCCATCCATCCATCATCCATCGTCCATCCATCATCCATCGTCCATCCATCATCCGTCCGTCCGTCCATCCATCCATCCATCCATCCATCGTCCATCCATCCATCCATCATCCATCCATCGTCCATCCATCATCCATCCGTCCGTCCATCCATCCATTCATCCATCCATCGTCCATCCATCATCCATCCGTCCGTCCATCCATCCATTCATCCATCCATCGTCCATCCATCATCCATCCGTCTGTTCATCCATCCATCCATACATCCATCCATCCATACATCCATACATCCGTCCATCCATCATCCATGCATCCATCCTCACATCCATGCATCCATCCTCACATCCATACATCCATCCATCCATCCATCCATCCACACATCCATCCATCCATCATCCATGCATCCATCCATCCATACATCCGTCCATGCATCCGTCCATGCATCCGTCCATGCATCCGTCCATGCATCCGTCCATGCATCCGTCCATGCATCCGTCCATACATCCATCCACACATCCACACATCCATCCATCCATCCATCCATCCATCCATTTATGCATCCATTTATGCATCCATCCACACATCCATACATCCATCCATCCATCTATGCATCCATCCATCCATCCATCCATCCATCCATCCGTCCATCATCCATGCATCCATCCATCCACCCATCCATCCATCCATCCATCATCCATGCATCCATCCACCCATCCACCCATCCATCCATACATCCATACATCCATCCATCCATCCGTCCATACATCCATGCATCCATCCATACATACAAACATCCCTGCCCACCTCTAATTTTAAACTGACTTTAACAGAATGTTCAGTCATAATCACAACAACAAACAGGTGTGTGTAATCTGTGTGTGTTGCATCTTTTAGATCATGGCTCTGAAACCATACGACTTGAGGAGGAGGCTGTATGTTATCTTCAGAGGCGAGGAAGGTCTGGACTACGGTGGCCTGGCTCGGTAATAAAACACCTTCATAAATAAATATTTAAAGATACCAAATTTAAACTAGATCATCTTTTATTTTGTGATTTATTTTCTTGTGTTTTTTTTTCCCCTTTCTGTGTTTGTTCTTAATTAAACAATGTTTCCCGTCTCCTTCCAGAGAATGGTTCTTCCTGTTGTCTCACGAAGTGCTGAACCCCATGTACTGCCTGTTTGAATACGCTGGGAAGAGCAACTACTGTCTGCAGATCAACCCGGCGTCGGCCATCAACCCCGACCACCTCTCCTACTTCTGCTTCATCGGCCGCTTCATTGCCATGGCACGTCCACGTGCTGCTCACACACACACAAAAACACACTCTAACAAAGCCTCACAGGATCTGCTGATAAATTAGTTGTTTTGAAGAAACTAAATCTTTCCCTCTTAGAGTRATTTAAATTGGTCRTGTGACTAGGACATGCAGGCTTTCAGGGACTTCAGGGGATTAATCATCATATTAATGGTTATCGGCTAATACAATTAATAGGGATTCATTTCTTTGCCAATATCGCTCAACCAGTCAATAAAACACAATTAAGTTCATGCTATAAATGTGTTTAGTAGATGTATTTTTGTTGGGTGTTTCTAACCAAATAACTGCACTTGTACAGTACAGAGTATCTTTAAATTCAACRTGTTTCTTTGAGTGACACACGTGTGCTTGGTTGTAATACAATAAAATCCCCCAGCTATCACTTGTATTTATAGTTTTTTTTCCTGTCCTAAATTTAATTTAAGGTGGCATTATAAAGGTCTTAAAAAGTCTTAAATTTGACGAGTTAAAACCTGCAGATACCCTGAGTGAGAGAAACATTAAAAAGTTCAGCAACTTATTGTTTAAAAGAACATCAGGAGCCCAACGCACTTATTTGTGTTTCTGTATTATTGAACACAAAGTTCTAATTCAGTGTTTGCACACCTTCTTAGGCTTATTTTTCAATTTATGATTTTATTTCTGGGATCAAATGATTGACGAGACATTGCTGAATATATTCTGTAATGAAAGGATGTTAATAGGACGYGTACAGAGTTTGTATATCTTCTGATTTTCAGATTTATTGGCATAGTAAACAATATTCTTTCCTCTTTTTTTTTTTTGTCCCCCTGCAGGCACTTTTTCATGGAAAGTTCATCGACACAGGCTTCTCTTTGCCTTTCTATAAACGCATGCTGAACAAGAAGCTGATCCTAAAAGACCTAGAATCCATTGACCCCGAGTTTTATAACTCACTCATATGGATCAGGTAATTCTTTTGATTTGAACAAATAGTACTTTATTTAAAAGTGCTTTTTTAGTCTAAACAAAAAAWTTTTTTTGTGTTAAATAATTTGATATTTCCTGAAGGGAACTGGTCAACCTTTAGATCAGGTGTGTGTTAGAGTTAGAGGTTTCTCTGCTCCAACACACTTCATTTGAATCAATGGTGATTAGCAGGCTTCTGCAGAACTTGAAGAGGTAATTCAGTCACTGAATCAGATGTGTTGGAGCAGGGAAAAGAGTAAAACATGCAGGAAATCAGGATTAAACACCTCTTGTTTTAGAAGCTGCTTCGAGACCTAGAAGACCTACTTTTCCCAGATTCTTTGTTTAATTCTTAGCTCTGTAAGAATTTGAGCATTTTGTGAAATAAATATGAAAAAAGAAGCAAAGATCATGCAAAGAACCTAAATCTAAATAAACATTATGAGGATGGTCTTTTTAACGTTTCTCAGAAGTTGCAATAGAAGTAAAGACAGCCATATAGAATAAAGTAAAACTGCTTCATATTTTATGTATCTTTTGGTCTTTGTGACTTAGATCAGGTCCAGTATCCTGCATGTTTTACTCATTTCCCACAGCAAGTAATATGATAATTGTTTATAATATTTCAGTGAGCTTCACATGAGGAATGATTTGTGTCTCTTCTCTCCTCAGAGACAATAACATCGAGGAATGTGGKCTGGAGATGTACTTCTCAGTAGACATGGAGATCTTGGGGAAGATCACGTCTCATGACCTGAAACCAGACGGCACCAACATCCTGGTGACTGAAGAGAACAAAGAAGAATACATCAGGTTGTTTTTTTCTCACAAACTCAGCCACTGAACACGACTTCAGTCACTTCTGCTGTGAAAAGCTCTAACGGTGTTGTTGTCGCCTGGCGTGCAGTCTGATGGCAGAGTGGAGGTTCTCCCGAGGGGTWGAAAATCAAACCAAAGCTTTCCTGGACGGGTTCAACGAGGTCGTTCCTCTTCAGTGGCTCCAGTACTTTGATGAAAAAGAGCTGGAGGTGAGTTGTCTGTTTAGATTCTTAGGCTGGTTTGTTTTAACCCGTGACTGACACAGACCACTCTGTGTGCGATGTTTGATCCAGGTGATGCTGTGCGGCATGCAGGAGGTCGACCTTCAGGACTGGCAGAGAAACACAGTGTACCGTCACTACACCAGGAACAGCAAACAGATCATCTGGTTCTGGCAGGTACTGGACTATGTGCTCAAACATCAGTGCAAACTGTCAGAAACCCAGGGCTGATATTTGATCAGTACTTTAAACATAAACAAATTGACTCTGTAGAATCTTTTTTAAATGGCACTGACTTAGAGAAGGCACTTTAGCTCTAGACTTAATTATTGCTATGAACTTCATATTGGCGTTCCTGTCTGCCCTGACACGACTTCAGCTTGTCCAGAACGCGGCTGTCGCCTTATTTATCTGAACTTTTAAGTCTTAACTGGACACGAGAGATCCCTGAGGTCATCAAATCAACTTTTATTACATGTCCCAAAGACAAGGCTAAAGCGCTGAGGTAACCTGGCCTTTTCAGTGGCAGCACTGTGACCCTGGACAAACTCCCTCTAGACCAGGAGCACCCAAACATTTTCCTTGAGAGGGCCAAAAGGAAACTATCCAGAGCTGTGGGCTAAATGCAGAAATATAATACATGAAATACAAATWCTCTTTAATTAATGTCCTGTATTTTTATGATTAAGCTAGCAGCCAGTGCAGTGGCCCACTTTTGTTTTGGTCTATTCACTTGGAGAAAGTCTGCCATACGCTCAACAGCAAAGGCTCATGGGATATTTTATAAATTGATCAAATATGAGTTTTTGTGGCCTTATAAAGTGTGCAAATTTACATATGTGGTTAAATCTAATCTAAATCCCACTTGTTACTTGTATTTCATGTTTCATCATAATACTGTATATCAAAGATAAAGTCAGCACCATGATTGGAAACTATTTGCACTACAGCCCTTTATAGTCATTGAGCCAATAGATGAAATGTCTTTAAGTGAAAATACTGTTTCTACATAGTACGACAGGTTACAACCTAGTAACTATTGCGTCTGCTGCTGGACCAAATCACACAGCTTGGCAGGCCAAATTTGGCCCGCGGGCCCCACTTTGGGCTCCTCTGCTCTAGACCTTCACTCTACCTCTGACCAGGGCATCTTTAAGTCAAAACTCAAGACTTTAGGCAGACTTAATACCATTTAGCGTAGTGGCATTTTGCCTTATTTTTTATTGTGTTTTAGTTTTCTCTTGTGATGTGATTTTTTTTTTGTAATGTAATTTGTTGATTTTTGGCCGCTGCTACATTGATCAAGTTTCCCTCTGTCAGGAATTAGTGGTAGGATGGACCCAAATGCAGGCTGACTTAAAAATTTAACAAATCTTTTATTAAATTAAAGGCCAGCGTGGTGGCAAAAACAGAAGACTTACAAGTGAGCAGGAACAAGGAAGCCAGGGCAGAACATGAACCAAACAGAAACAAAATGAACGCACGAATGTGGAAAGCATGAGAACCAGTATAAGTAGTCAGAGTCTAAGTGGAGACAGCTGTGATGATTAGGAGTGAAGACAGGTGAGCAGAATGATCTAGAAGGGCTGAATAATCTGAGGATTGAAATGACAAGGCATGAAATGAACACTAGATGGGAGCACAAGACGAGAACAGAAAACACACAAACGCCAAATCCTCACTCCCTCCTGCTGTTCTAGAAAACTCTGGACTTTACAAAGAGCCACAGACCCCTCTGGGTGTTTGAGACAAACATTTGTTTGTTTWTGTTTTAGTTTTTAGTATTGCTGTGAAATCTAGTCTCCTCCTCCAGAAATGTTCAGTGATGGTTGTGTTTGCTGTCACCTCGTCCTCTGCAGCTGGTGAAAGAGGTGGACAACGAAGTGCGACTCAGACTCATGCAGTTTGTCACAGGAACCTGCAGACTTCCTTTGGGCGGCTTTGCTGAGCTTATGGGTCAGTAACACAAACACACAACCTCTTATGAAGTGATGTGGACTTACACAGCTTTCAGTGTGTTCTCAGTTTGTCTTGTTTTGGATTTCAGGAAGCAACGGGCCTCAGAAGTTCTGCATTGAGAAAGTGGGGAAGGACACGTGGCTTCCTCGGAGCCACACGTGGTCAGTGCTAGCTCCTTTTTTTTTCTTTTCCTATCCTGTTGCATAAACTAATTGGGACCAACTGGGAGCTGGAGACACAATAGCTTTTCATTTGGAACCAGAATACTTCAGTGAACAGAAGAATCAGCTCTGTCGCTCAGATCCTGTGAAAGTTCAAACTTTCATTCATCCAGCTACGAGCTTGAAGAGAAGTGTTTCATTGGGACCGTCTGAGCCGGAGCGGTTGAATTTTTTTTTTTTTATTATTTCTCAGAGGTTTACTTGAGGTGAACTTGCTGGGATTTCTATTTCTGGGAAGATTGTGTTAAATGTTTCCCACTTTATCTCTTAAAGCAGTTCAGCACTGTGTGTTTTCAAGCTCTCAAAGCCACATTTTAATAATAGTTCCTGATGAGGTTCATGTTGACAGCTGCAGAGCATGAAGGCATATTTACTGGTGTGTGTTTATCTGACGCTGCAGAAAGATTTAAACTACTAATCATTCATGGAGAAATGAATCTTAGAGGATGAGTGGAAGCTTGTCACCAGAAGGTATTGTGTTGTATAAATCTGTAGCACTTTGTAACTGCAGCTTTTCCTGCTTTATTAAACATTAATAAATGGTTTGTTAAACTTGAAAACGTAATTAAGGATGATTCATACTTACTGTATTAATAAACTATAAATGAACACATTTAAAAGGCGTATTACTTTCAAAGCCAACATACTTATTGTTTATTCATGCGTCATAACTCATGAACTATTCTATATACTNCTGGAGGTCGGCCGAAGCGAGACCGTGGACCTTGTTGAGACCCTGGCGACTTGGACCCCTTAGATGCAGGCTCTGGCTCTGGAGACGTGGTTCGACCCGGGGACTTTACAATCCCACCCGGGGGCTCTGGAGATGCTGGAACAGATGAATTATAGGCTGGAACAGGAACTGATGAGGATGATGGAATATATGGTGACTCGAGGATTGGAAACTTGTAGAGTGGAACCAAAGAGTCGATCTCTGTAGCCTCGTGGTCTGAAGACTCTGTAGTCTCGTGGACTGTAGAGTCATGGACTGGAGACACTGTAGACTCAAACCCTGAAAACTGGAACTCTGAYGGTGGTGGTGAGTGGTCGTAGTACTCCGGACAAAAGGGGTCACTTTCAGGATCATAATCCGGATTGTACTCCGGTTCAGATCCTGAGTAGTCAGACTCAGGATACTCATCGTCTGACGACTCGAGCTCAGGATACTCAGTCGACGATGCAGGACCAGATGAAGGCGATGATGAAGATGATGCAGGACCAGACGAAGGCGATGATGGTGATGATGACGATGCAGGACCAGACGCTGTAGCAACCAAGCTGGGCTTCCCCAATGCTACAGCTTCCTCCCTTCTAGGGGTTCTAAAAGACCCCGATAAGCTGATGAAGCAGGGAGGTGGGGCAGTTGAAACCTGCCCTGAGGCCGCAGCCGCTTTCCTCCTCCGACGGCGGCGAGATGAGGCTGAGGGAGCAGAGGATGTGGCCCCCTCCCAGGGGGCGCAGGGGGCAGAGAGCCCCGTGGAGCAGGAATGCTCTGACTCAGCAGTAGATGGTGTGGTGGTCTCGGCTGCAGACAGTGACATGGAGATCACTGGAGCAGCGGCTGACATGGTGGAACCCATAGCTGTGGCAGACATGGAGGTTTTGGAGGCAGGTGAGGCGGTAGAGCTGGAACCAACCAGTTTGGAAAAAAACCCCAGGAATGTGGACGAGGAGACGAAGGTGGCCGGGCAGCTGCAGCAGATAGGTGCACTCCAACAGGACGTTGACGATCTGCTGATAAAGCTGAAGGCGGGCGGCAGGAGAGAGGGACCACCTGAGCATCAACAAAGACCCGCTGATCAACGGGTGCGTCACCTCGAGTTCCTCCGGTGGCAAAGCTGGAAGCGACTCCTCCACACTTGGAGCAGTGGAGGTGGCGACGATTCTGCCTGCTGGGTCCTTGGGTGGTCCGTTCATTCTGTCAGGACTTAGTGGCAGGATGGACCCAAATGCAGGCAGGCAGACTAAAAATTTAACAAATCTTTTATTAAATTAAAGGCCAGCGTGGTGGCAAAAACAGAAGACTTACAAGTGAGCAGGAACAAGGAAGCCAGGGCAGAACATGAACCAAACAGAAACAAACAAAGGATGAAGGTGGAGAGCATGAGAACCAGTATAAGTAGTCAGAGGCCGAGTGGAGACAGCTGTGATGATTAGGAGTGAAGACAGGTGAGCAGAATGATCTAGAAGGGCTGAATAATCTGAGGATTGAAATGACAAGGCATGAAATGAACACTAGATGGGAGCACAAGACGAGAACAGAAAACACACAAACGCCAAATCCTCACTCCCTCCTGCTGTTCTAGAAAACTCTGGACTTTACAAAGAGCCACAGACCCCTCTGGGTGTTTGAGACAAACATTTGTTTGTTTTTGTTTTAGTTTTTAGTATTGCTGTGAAATCTAGTCTCCTCCTCCAGAAATGTTCAGTGATGGTTGTGTTTGCTGTCACCTCGTCCTCTGCAGCTGGTGAAAGAGGTGGACAACGAAGTGCGACTCAGACTCATGCAGTTTGTCACAGGAACCTGCAGACTTCCTTTGGGCGGCTTTGCTGAGCTTATGGGTCAGTAACACAAACACACAACCTCTTATGAAGTGATGTGGACTTACACAGCTTTCAGTGTGTTCTCAGTTTGTCTTGTTTTGGATTTCAGGAAGCAACGGGCCTCAGAAGTTCTGCATTGAGAAAGTGGGGAAGGACACGTGGCTTCCTCGGAGCCACACGTGGTCAGTGCTAGCTCCTTTTTTTTTCTTTTCCTATCCTGTTGCATAAACTAATTGGGACCAACTGGGAGCTGGAGACACAATAGCTTTTCATTTGGAACCAGAATACTTCAGTGAACAGAAGAATCAGCTCTGTCGCTCAGATCCTGTGAAAGTTCAAACTTTCATTCATCCAGCTACGAGCTTGAAGAGAAGTGTTTCATTGGGACCGTCTGAGCCGGAGCGGTTGAATTTTTTTTTTTTTATTATTTCTCAGAGGTTTACTTGAGGTGAACTTGCTGGGATTTCTATTTCTGGGAAGATTGTGTTAAATGTTTCCCACTTTATCTCTTAAAGCAGTTCAGCACTGTGTGTTTTCAAGCTCTCAAAGCCACATTTTAATAATAGTTCCTGATGAGGTTCATGTTGACAGCTGCAGAGCATGAAGGCATATTTACTGGTGTGTGTTTATCTGACGCTGCAGAAAGATTTAAACTACTAATCATTCATGGAGAAATGAATCTTAGAGGATGAGTGGAAGCTTGTCACCAGAAGGTATTGTGTTGTATAAATCTGTAGCACTTTGTAACTGCAGCTTTTCCTGCTTTATTAAACATTAATAAATGGTTTGTTAAACTTGAAAACGTAATTAAGGATGATTCATACTTACTGTAWTAATAAACTATAAATGAACACATTTAAAAGGCGTATTACTTTCAAAGCCAACATACTTATTGTTTATTCATGCGTCATAACTCATGAACTATTCTATATACTKTGTATTTGTGTGTAATGCTCATATAAATGTACTTTCACACCATGTGTTAGACATTGATTAATGGTTAGAGAACATTTGAACGATGATCTACTAATCCTACAGTGTGAATCCTAAAGTGAAGATAATGAATTTTTTACACATATATTTCATTTATATGAGCAATTACATACATATATACACACAGTATATAGAGTATTAAATAAGTTAACCATACGCAATGAGTATGTTGGTTATGGAAGTAATTAGCCTTTATTAAATGTGTTAGTTTATAGCTTATTAAGTATGAATCATCCTTAATGTTTTCAAGGGTTAATGATTAAGTAAGGCTGAATGAGGTGCAGTAGGTAAATCTGCAGAATCTTGTAAAAACACATCATAAAAGTAGATTTATCTTAAATATCTGATGTTTAAACCCTGACCTGCCCTCTTGTCTTTTCAGTTTTAACCGTCTGGACCTGCCTCCCTATAAAAGCTACGAGCAGCTGAAAGAGAAGCTGCTCTTTGCCATCGAGGAAACCGAAGGATTCGGCCAAGAATAAAAAGAGCGAGTCCTCTTCTCTTCCCCACCACCCCCTCCTAAAAAAAAAAACTGTCGCTGTTCAGTCAGCCAAGAAAAACAAACTTAAAAAAATAATAATAATTGCACAAAATAACCACCAATGTATATAAGCTATTTTGTCATTTAAAACCAAATCTTAATTTGCAGCATCATGTTTTTGCAGCAGCCCAGGCCTCCCCTGCAGCGTTGTCTGTTACATAAACTGCCCCGTCATGAAAATATGCAAGCATTTCAGCCTCTGTTGACATGTTTTTAATGTCCTCCTGAAAGCTGAGTGGCTTTTAAAGATGAACTGAAAGGGTTTTAAAGAGGGGGGGGTTTATAGTTGAATGACATCATTCTTTGTTCAAGCTCTAGTTCTATAGAGCTTTTAAAAGGCAAAAAGTCGAGTTTTCCGTGCCTGAAATCCTGTTTTCCTGTCGGATCCCGTTCTTTTTTTTTTCCCAGTCCTCGCGTGCTTGCATGCTGCCTAAGATAAGACGTCYGCGGCGAGCGCCGCCGCCACGCAGCGCACACGCAGACATGTCTGGCATGGACCGCCGCATCTTCGAATGAGCTTGTCGCCATATTTTATGAGGAAAGGCTCGGCGTTCTGGTCTGAAGCGCAGAGCATCGCTCCCAGTTTCACCCCACAGCCCAGGAGAAACAAAAACAAAACAAAAAWAAACAGCGGCGCATCGTTTTCGTTGGGGCACAAAAGGAAGAAATGTAAAATAATGACTCGAAGAAGATATTCTAAATTGAAGTGAAAGCAGAAGCCATTTGTGTGTGTGTGTGCGTGCGTGTGTGTGTGTGAGTGTGTGAGAGTTACAGAAAAATCGGTGTTTCTTATTTAAAGCCAGAGATCCAGGACATGTTAGCGGCTACCTAACTGCAGCCTGCTCACACACTGTGACATAAGAGAAACAAGACTTCTGGTGGTAATTTAGTTTTACACAAATCATGTTTTAACTTTGCAATTTCAAAAATTGCCAAAAAAAACAAACAAACGATATTCTGTCCCACTTTGTGCACCTGAGGGACCTCATTGGACTGTGGGTTCTTCTGTCCTATAAAGTCACTGTGATTGATGCAGCGCTAGTTTTTATGATTTTACCTCACGTGTTGCGTTCAGTCCATCAGTAGAGGAGGGTTTTTAATGCACGATGATAAAACAAGAATAACTTTCTGTGAATATAAAATAGTATTAAAGCCATTATTTTTACGTTATAAAGACAAAGAGCCTGAAAGCAACACACACAAGCGTTTCAATAGAGAAGCAGCCGACACTGAACAGGAAGAAGTTAAATTTCTGGTCTCAAACTCTGAGCTGAAAAACAGCTTTCTAGTCCACATGTCCTTAAAACATTTGAAGGGAAATCCTGTTTCTTTTTCACCAAACCTTGGTTTTGGACACTGGTGCTTTTTTTTGTCTAATTAACGGCTTTAGTTGCAGAAACTTAAATAGAGGCGAGCCATTCTCCTGGTTTTCTCTGGCATTTCTTTCTTTTTAACAGCTTTGTTTCAACTTTGACTGGGAAGACTCCAGCGACGACTCGTGTAAATAAGAAAACCACGTTAAGAGGATGCTATGAAGACACTGTAGCAAAAGGAGCCAATTTAGGAGATCCATGCCATTCTGCAGAACTCTGTGCTTCCTTTTGAGTCGAGAGCCCGTCATCAGAATCAGCTGTTGTACGTGAACATTAGTGACATGAAGAAAACCAGTACATGGACTATTTAAACTATTATAAGTAACCACACCAAGATGCCGCTCCACTGATGGAAATCTGTGTTGCCTTCKTTCTTATCAGAAATTAGCCGGGATCGTTTCAGGCCGGCCTTTCGCCGCAGGCAGAGGAGGAGATCAGCAGAGTAATTTTAGTCCTCAGAAGTTTTCGTTGGTCTGATTTGCAGTCTGAAAYGTATCCAAACTGTAACATATCGCGTGTAGATACACACTGTAAACACCAATTACACTGTACAGAACGCCCCTTTACTGGAGACGATGTGTATAGAAGATTCATTTTTAATCTGCTTTCACCCATTTTAAATGGACAGAGATGGATTTATGAGATACAAATAAAAAAAGGTGAATAAAACCGCAGATTGCTCATGTTTTCTTTTTGTGTGTGACAAAAACATCTGAGTTGTATCTAATAGATGGAGTCAAGGGTTGTTATTTGAAGAGTTTCATCATGTATTGGATCATTTACAAAATAAAAGCACAGGCAGTTAAAAAGACATTTAATTAAAACTATATTTGATTAAATTATAAAACAAAAAACTTAATTTATAACAGGTTTGAATCAGATTCATCTCAGTTTTCAGAAACTATTTAAARAGTCATGGAGAACATCAGAAAAATCCACTAAATGCACCTTATTTTTGAATGCGGAAGTAAGTAAGKGTCCAACTTCTGGTTTTTGTGTGAAACTTCCGGTTTACCGCTTCCCTGGGCTCACTAGCAGCAGCTTGATGAATTTAGTTACTATGTTGTGGAAACATTTTCACAAATAAAAATATAAAGCTAAATTATACACAAGTTAAAAATAGTACCAGCAATGGTAATATGAAAACCCGGTTTTATTTTATTTTCCTAGACATGCAAATATTAGCCTTTATAATTCTTTTACATAAGAAAATAGTGCCTTACACACACACACACACACACACACACACA